GTTTGGGCGGCAAGAACAGCACTGAAGGTCTGCTCTTGGCGGTGGGTCTGTGTGAAATACAGAAAGTGTTGGCTGGGGGTCAGGGAAGGGACCGAATGTCTTTCAAAGTCCAGTAACACAAGTTCTCTGCTGGGTAAATGCTGTTTGCTCCCAGGAAATGCCTCTGATTCCTGAAAGAGAGCAATTCTCTGCTAGAGCTGAAACAATGTCAGCAAATTGCTCTGGCAGCTGTTTGTATGGCCTCTTAAATCTGAAGTGCAGGAGTTAATAGTGTCAGAATTGCACGTACAAACTGCCGCTGAAATTGCCTCTTCAGGCAGGGACACTCCAATCCATCAGTGTGGGGGAAAGTCTCTGCCACGGGTCGGATTCTTCTCTAAAGTGGAGAGCTGTGGGTGGAGTGGAGGGGGGGGCAGCCCAGAGAAACCCACCCTCCAGTTTGTCTGGTTATATTTGGTGTTTCTCTGTGAGCCTGTCCATTGCTGCAAACTTTTTTCTTTCCTTTTTTTTTTTTCCCTTCCTTTCTCTCGTGCAGAACGTCACAGCCAACCACAGGATAAATGACACCATCGCCAATGAAGATGGGCCCCAGACCTTAACGGGAAGATTCATGTACGGTCCTTTAGATATGGTTACGCTCACAGGAGAAAAGGTACGGTGTCCACTATGGGTTGTGAGAAGGGACAGGGACAGAGGTGTGCTGGTCAGTGCTCCCTTGGTTCCTGATGGGGTTTGCCACCCTTGGCCACGTTCCCCTGCTCAGACTTGGGTGGTGCCTCCTGCCAGGAACAGCGTTTGTCCTGGAGGTCTTCACCACCAAGGCTGGATTTCGTCCCAGCATCCTGATGTTTGGGTGCTTCTCAGCTCAGAGCTGGGAAGTGCGGAGGGTGGACGCAGAGCCCAGCCCTGCTGGGAGGAGGGTCCCTGTGCGTGGCCGGTCCTGCTCCTCCGGGTCTGTAACGCTGCTGCTGACCCCGCCGTGCTGTCCTCACAGGTGGACATCCACATCATGACCCAGCCGCCATCGGGAGAGTGGGTTTACTTCGACACGGAGATCAGCAACAGCAGCGGCAGGATTACCTACGTCATCCCCGAGAGCCGGCGCCTGGGCATCGGCGTGTACCCCGTCAAGATGGTGGTCAGGTGAGGTGCCTCGGGGTGCAAGAGGAGAGAAAGTGGGATCTGATGATGGTAGGATATGGTTTGTCCTTGTGGGGCTGCTCTGATGGCCGGTTGGGTTCAGAGCCTGGTTTGCCAGCACCAGGGACAAAGCCGTTTGCGCTGTAGAGCTGTAAGAGGAAGATCCGTGATTTCTTCCGACTCGTGCGTTATCGGCAGGATGGCAGGAGCAGGCATCCCACAGCACAGGCACGTGGCCGCACGGTCATCTGCAAAACTGCACAACTCTCCGTTCTGTATTTTAAAGACCAAGACTTGGCTGTGAGGGACAGAACCCTGTCCTTGAGATAATTCACAACCCCGGGGCTCCAGCTCGGTGCCAGGTGCTGGTGTTGAGCTCTGGAAGGGGAGGAGAGGAGCGTCTTCTCCGTGGTGACCCCAGTGATGGTTTGCTGGGGGTATTTTTTTTGGATCCCTGACACCAGGGCTCCTGAGTGCTATTTCCAGACCCACTTCAACACAGAGGCTCTTGCGCCGTGTCCACTGAGGGTGGCATCGCTGTTAGAGGGTTTGGGCTGGATTTGGGCGCTGCTTTGGGCTTGTGATGTGCTGCAGGACTGAGGGATACCTCCTGACACAACCCCTCTATCTTGATGTCTATAAATACCCCTTCCAGGGGCGACCACACGTACGCAGACAGCTACATCACGGTCCTGCCGAAGGGGACGGAGTTTGTGGTGTTCAGCATCGACGGCTCCTTTGCAGCCAGCGTGTCCATCATGGGCAGCGACCCCAAAGTCCGCGCCGGAGCAGTGGATGTTGTCAGGTCAGTGGCAGGGGTTGGGGCAGTTGGTTTATTTTATCCTGGCGTTGCCCAGGTCTGCAGTCCGTTGACTTCTGATTTTCCTTCCAGGCACTGGCAAGACCTCGGCTACCTCATTATCTACGTCACGGGCCGCCCCGACATGCAGAAGCAGAGGGTGGTGGCGTGGTTAGCACAGCACAACTTCCCCCACGGGATCGTCTCCTTCTGCGATGGGCTCGTTCACGACCCGCTGCGGCACAAAGCCAACTTCCTGAAATCCCTCATCACGGACGTAAGCCCGGCTCTGCTGAAATACGATCGTAGCACGGGTTGAGATCGCTCCTCGTCCGATTGTCCCTGTCAGCACCAGTCTCTTGGCAGCGATGTGACCCAAGATTAATCTGCTCATTTTATTTTCATCCTTTTATTGCTCTACCAAAGCATCTGCGCTGTTAAATTGTGTCATCTCTGCACCGCTCCATCTCATCGCTGGTCCTTCCAACACCAAATCCCTGCTGGAACAGGGGCAGCGGTGTCTCCCTTCCCCACACATGCACTTTTTTCACCTTTTTGGTGGTTTTCTGGCTGCCTGGGAGGTATCCAGCAGGTCTGGGGGGGTGCCTTGCACCACCCAGCCTTGACGGGAGACTCCAAAGAGCATCTTCCCAGCATGACCCCAGGGAGGTGTTAACATCTCAGCCCAGAGCCGCAGAAAAACTCCAGATAAAGAAAACATTTTTCTCTGTCTGGCAAGTGAAGGAACTGCCAGTGTCCTGAGCACTCGTTCAGGCAGGAGGCCCCTCGTTAATTCTCTCAGACCCTCATTTTGGCCCCAGTCGCAGCCCGCTGCGGAGGGGCTTGGCCAGGAGCTGCTCTCTGCTGGCAGCGGCGGCAGACGGATCCCTGCAGAGCAGCGTGTGTGCTGTGGGTCCCTTCTCCCTCTGCCCAGCGGAGCCAAACAGCAGAATCACATCCAGCAGCACGGCCGCAGAGGGGAGCACTCCCCGCTGATGGTTGCTGCCTGGGGGGTTGCAAACTGCTCCTCTCCCCCCAGGGACAAGCAGGCGGTGAAGTGTGCGGCGTCCCGGCTCCCCGCAGGCTGTGGGTCAGCAAGCGGAGATCTGCTCTCACGTTGCTGTTACCCCTCTTGTTCCAGCCTGTGAACGTCCCCAGGTCTGTTAATTAGCGCTTTGCACAGCGGTGCATCATCCAGCTGGGAACTTACATAAGTTACTGACCTGAGGATCCCACAAATGCTGTTTAACAATTAATAAAAAAAAAAAAATCCCTGCCTGTGGAGCAGCACGGGGCACCCATATGTTCTGACGGCGTGTTGCTTTCTCTCCCTGCAGCTCCACATGAGGATCCACGCGGCGTATGGATCTACGAAGGACATCTCTGTGTACAGCTCCATCAGCCTCCCGCCCACCCACATCTACATCGTTGGCCGACCCACCAAGAAGCTGCAGAGCCAGTGCCAGGTAGGAGCCGGCTTGTCTGACCCCTGGAGGTGCTGCAGGGGCCTCCCACGGGAGGGCAATGGGAATTTGGTCATTTTCAGACTGGTGGCTGAGCTGGTGTTCGCCAAGAGGGACAGGAACTGCCCCATGTACCAGGACCCATCACATCTGAGTGGTTCATAGAGTCACAGAAAGGTTCGGGTTGGAAGGGACCTTAGAGATCATCGAGTGCCACCCCCTGCCATGGGCAGGGACACCTCCCACCAGCCCAGGTTGCCCAAAGCCTCATCCAGCCTGGCCTTGAACCCCTCCAGGGATGGGGCATCCACAGCTGCTCTGGGCAACCTGGGCCACTGCCTCACCACCCACACAGGAAAACATTTCTTCCCAATATCTCAATCTCCCCTCTTCCAGTTTAAGTCCATTACCCTTCATCCTGTTGCTATGTGCCCTTGTTCCATCTCATGTACATCACCCCAGAGAACCCGGCCCAGCAAACGTGTTGGTGGCCCTCAGGGAACCGTGTCCCATCCCTCTAACGCCTGTCCTCCCCGCTCTCGTCCGGCAGTTCATCACGGAGGGGTACGCAGCCCACCTGGCCCAGCTGGAGTACAACCACCGCTCGCGCCCCGCCAAGAACACCACGCGCATGGCGCTGCGCAAAGGCAGCTTCGGGCTGCCCGGCCAGACCGAGTTCCTGCGCAAGAGGAACCACCTGCTGCGGACCATCTCCTCCCAGCCTTCGGCCACCTGCAGCGGCACCGGCCACCGTCCCGAGCGCACCCAGAGCCAGTCCGACGGCGACAAGGAGAGGGACAGGGAACGCAGCCAAAGAAGCATGAGCATCGCTACGGGGTGCTGGGGCCGGAGCGCAGCGTCCCGGCTGGAGTCCGGCCTCTTGGGGCAGAAGTAGTCGGGGCAGAGGC